GGCGAGGCGGCTGCCCTGATGGCAGGCCCTGGCCCTGGAAGGTGTTCCTGGACGGGGCGAGGGCGGGTAGCTGGGCCTGTCCTCGTGTGTGGCTGGGGTGCTCAGCGGGGGACTGGGCCGCTGCCCGCTGTCCAGCCGGGTGCCGGCTCCCAGCCCCCGCGCTTCTGCCATCCTGGCCAAGGGACGCAGCCCCCAGGACCCCCAGGGCGCCGCGGTTTGCCAGCGGTGTGGTCAGGCGGCGTCTCAGAGCATTAAGGTCGCATTTTAGTGATAACTAAACGGCCGCACCCTAAAAGCATAAATTTTGGGTGATGCTTCCTACCCAATTGTTACAGTTTTAAGGTGAAATTGTTACAGTTTTAAGGTGAAAAGAGCCTAAGGCTGAGCACACTGGTAGCCAGTGGAGGGGCGCCCGCCTGGCGCGGGAGGGCTGTCCCCTGGGGAGCAACAGACATCCCCACAGGGTGGAGACTGATGTGCAAAGGCGTGACAGGGCAGAGGAGACTCCAGCTCAGCAGCGTCCAGCGCGGTCTCACAGGGACAGGCGCTGGCCAGTCCGGCCTTGTCCCCTTCGAGCTGTCCCACATTCCCTCCGTTCAGAAACTGGGTGGGACCGGCTGGGCTGGCGCCCGGGGTGCCACCCGCTCTCCCAAGTCTGGGGGCAGGGGAGGGCGTCCTGGCACGTTCATGAGGGTGGGGGGGAGGCTGAGCACCGTCCCGCACCCCGGTGTTGTCCCTTTGCCTGTTGTCAACGGAGTGGGGACCCTGTAGGAGGCATCGGGCTCACCTCACGGCCTCCCCCGCGCCAGCCCAGCCCTTTCCTGGACGTGCGTTACACAACCTGGTGTCCTCTCAGGCACGACAAGCGGAGAACGCGGGGGCTGTGTCTGGAGGGTGGCCGCCCCGTGCCCTCTCCTCACGCCCAGCGTCCAGCACCGCCCGGTCCCCACCGCTTTCCGGGGTTTGTTGCGGAAAACCCTGAAAATGTTCACGAGTTCCATGCGCAGCCACACGTATTTCCGCTTGATCTCGTATCCCGCGTTTACTGCTGGGCGTCCTTACGAGTCTGTGGAGAGGCAGAAATTATGCAGTATTGATTTCAGGAAAAGTTGAAGTGGCTGCACATGATTGCCTTCGCCTTAAAAGAAATCCTTATTTGGTTCTAACTTGAACAGCACTGAAAGCACAACAAAACTGGCTTTTCATTCTATCACTGCGTTTCCAGCCAGTCGGGACGGCGTCGGCTTCAAGAGGCGTTAACTGTGTCTTGCCCGTGCCGGCTCCCGCCTGCCCGCCCGCCCGCCCGCCGGCGCTGCCCCCCCTGTGGGCGGCCTTGGGGTCCGGCCGCCGCACGGACCGCCGGGCAGTCTGGGTGATGGGCGTGGGGCCGCTCTGGCTGGGGAGGAGAGTGGTCTCCGCTCCGTGCATGGGCCTCGGATCTGAGTATGTCCTGCTTTAAAGCTCACTTGTTTTTACTTTGCTTTTAAAAACGAACTAAAAGCAAGTCCCAAGTGCACAGGCCGCCTTCTCTCCCGAGTGACGAAACTCCCCGCAGGGGGGGGTTCTGCCTCCCAAGGTAGGCGCCGTGTCCTCGGCTCTCTTGCAGCCCCCCTCCCTGAAGTGTTGTCTGTGGAACAACGTGGCAAAGTGTTGCTTGGTACGTGAGAGACGTCCTGATGTTCGCCTTCCAGTAAACGCACGATTTTTCAGTTTTCCTTGTTCTGAAGGAAAGCTGTGCTGGGCCCGGTGCCCGCAGCGCCCACAGGGCAAGTGTCCCGGCCTGGCCTGCTGGCTCCGGCTCCGGCCCGCCCCCGGGGCTCAGGCCTAGCACCAGGTCTTCTGTGGGGCACTGGAGGTTCCCCGAGGGTTTGATGCTCCCATTTTCTTGAAGATGAGTTTCACCCAGCACAGGCCGACAGGACTCCCTCGCTGCCGCGCGCAGCCGCTGGTCCTCTGGGGGGGGGGGCAGGCACCCGAGCCGCCCCCGTCCGGAGCCGCCCAACGCCACTGGGCAGGGAGGCCCCGGGGAGCAGCGCCCGCGGGGCCCCTCATAGCTGGCGTGTGAGTCACCAGAGCCCACAGCAGATCGTGGTGGCCACAGGATGGGGTGCCCTGGAGGGAGGGTGTTTCGCCCAGACTCAGGGCAGAAGAATTCCCGCGGCTGCCCCCTAGGGAGAGAAGCAGAGCCCCAGGGAGGGCCTGAGCCGCGGGCCGGGTGGCCGTCCTCCAGGGAGAGGGCGCGGAGGGGCTCTGCCTTCCTGTGCCCCACCCAGCTCCCAGCCCGAGATGGGAAGAGGAGTCAGCTCTTCCACCAGAGGGGCCGGGGTGGCTGGTTGTTGGACCGAACCCCCCGCTGGCCTCACGATGACCCACTTTCTGTGGGGTCAGGCCCCGGGCCCCCAGTCGGCCCCTGGGGCTGGCAGGCAGAGGCCGCGGAGCACAGGAGCCGCTGGGCTGTGGGGGAGGAGCTCGAGCTCTGCCAGTGGCGCCCCATCTGGTCAGGCGCCCCTGCCCCTGGGGCTCAGGTGTCCACCCGGCCTTGGGCCAGCACCAGCCCCCCAGGTCAGGGGAGCCCCACAGGGCTGGGGTGGGAAGGGCGGGGCTTCCCTTTTCAAGGTCAAAGGAAGTGGCCACTGGGGAGCGCGGTCTCCGCCTTCCCGGGCTTTCTCTGCGGAATAAAGGCCTCGGCCGGGCACCTTCCAGGTCCCTTGGAAACGTCTTAGTAGATCCCCGTGCGGACGCCAAGCTCAGACCTCTGCGTGCTGTCCGCCCCGAGCCCCCACAGAAAGACGCGCGTCTCCATCCTTGCCCTTCAGAAGCACCGGCGGCCCGCGGGCAGGCCGTGAATTTCAGGAGGGTCCTAGGTCGTGGCTGCCACGGCGCCCGTGGTGGGTGTAACTGGATGAGTTCCCGGGCGCAGCCTCGCCTGAGGCGGGCGCTCGGCTCTCCGGACGCCGTGACGTGCAGGGTGAGCGCGGCCTCAGCCCTCCGCCGCCCGCCTGCCCGCTGCTGGCCGCCTCACTGTGCTCGGATTTACTACTTGGCAATTTAAAAATAAGCCCCAAAGGCACATGTGAGCAGAGGGGACACGACCCCAGGCTGATGTCACCCCATCTGTGCTGCCTCCCCTCAGCCACCGCTTGTGCAGCTGAGTTTGGGCTTCAGCGGGCCGGTGTTGGGGTGTGGGGGTCCCTTTTTAGCAGCAACAGAGAGTTTCCCCACAAGGCAGAAACTCTGGTCAGATCCCAGAGGGTGGGTTTATTATATAGAAAGAGGGGAAAGAAAATGCCTGTGCGGGCAGGGCCCGGGGGGCAGGGCGGCCGCAGGGAGGGGGTCCTGGATGCAGGATGAAGCCTGGGTTGTCCTGGTGTGTTTACTGGCAGCTCCTGACAGGAAACTTCTGAATACAAATGGTGACTTGGGCTTCTGCAAAATGAATATTTAAATGCGACAAATTTAGATACAAAGATGTGTGACACCTTAAGACACAAAACTAGCACCAACAACTTAGGTCATTGGGGTTCATGTTTTGAAAGAATGAAACATTTTCCACAGGTGCTTTTCAGCTGAGGCGGCCTGCGGCGGACCCGTGGGGCCTCAGGGTTTTCCACAAACTACTGACAGCATCTGTGGTAGTCGCAAGAGTGACGTCATTTGTGCAGAAGGGAGCCCTGTAAATGGCAGTGCCCTGGCCCTGGCCTCCAGGTCTCCCCTCTGGACTGTCAGGGTCGGGCTCCTGTGTTCGAGGTAACATTTCAAAGCAAACTCTACCAAACCTTCGCCCAAGCAGGTGTGGCCGTGGGTGAGACTCTGGGGTGGATGGCAGACCCGCGTGGGCTGCGATGGAATCAACTGGACCCTACGCGGGCCAGCGGCCGAGGGCAGGTCAGGGGTCACGGGTGCCGACGCGCCTGCAGAATCCAGGCATCAGGGTGCCGGTGCCCTTGGCACCGCGCCTGCGTGCCACACCCCTGCTGTCACATCCCGCCTACCACGGCCTCTGCTGACCGCCGTGGCCCAGTGACCAGCACAGCCGTTTCCCTGTTCCGGGCCAGGACCCCTCGTGGGCCCCCGGGGCGGGAGCCGCTCCCCCCACGCCCCGTCCAGCCCCTCCCCATGCCTCTCACCCAGGCTCGGAGAGGATGGCCAGCGCGGGGGATGCGGTGGCTTTTTTAGTGGCTCCTACAGACCCGTCTTAGCGCCTGATTCAGAGACGCGTGGCGCGGGGTCGCTGCTCAGACTGCGCGGCTGTCCTGCCCCACGCTCGTTCTCCAGCGAGACACGACCAGTGGTGGGGCTCCCCGCAGCGCGCTGAGAAGCGCTGATGGGGCGGGCGCGGCAGGGGGGCAGACGTGCGCGTTTCCTAACCCCCTGAGTCGAGACCTGACCGTAAAGGGGAGAGTGGGTAAGAGGGTTTCTTTGGAAAAATGTGGACTTCATTGTTGGCCCAGCAAGCAGACCCGCCAGGAGACGTGGTCGCTGGCCTGGCTGTGTCAGGGGACGCGGCTCGCGTGGCGGGCGGTGCTGAGAACCCGGGTCCACGTGACCTTGGCCCACCGACCGTGACCTTGGCCCGCCGACCTTGCCTGGTGTGAACTCAGGGCGGCCATTCGCAATTAGCCATATGAGCTTCCTTGGATTTTGTGTCTCCCTGTGCTTTGCGCCTCCGCCGGGATGTCCGCTGCTGTCTGGGTGGCCTAGGAGTTCATGAAACGGGTTTCACCTGTTCCTTTGTTTCTCCGTGGTTCACGTAGACGTGAAATCAGCAGGTATTGTCTCTCTCCTTCTGACCCATTTCCTGTAGCTCCCCCCACCAGCTCCATCCACGCCGGGCGCCACGCGGGCCCGTCCTCCACAGCCGCGCAGGGCTCCCCGCGCTTCTCGGCCGGCCGCTGCCCGTGTCTGCCGCTGGCCTCGCGGGCGCTGGCTGCTGCGCTCCCACGGGTGCCGTGCGGCCTGAGGGCGCTCACTGCCGCTGGCCGTTCCTTCTCCTCCTGCAGGTAGAAATCACCCTCCAGGACATCAACGACAACCCACCCGTGTTCCCTACGGACTTGCTGGACCTCTCGGTGGAGGAAGACATCGGGGACGGCGCCAAGATCGTGCAGCTGACGGCGGTGGACGCTGACGAGGTAGTTCTGTCCCGAGGCCCTGCGGCCGCTCGCACTCAGGCGGTAGCGCCGCTCCCCCAGGCTGACGGCTCTCAAGCCAGGAACGGGGGCTGAGGGCCGCGCTTTCCCAAGGAACGTAACTTCTCGAAGTCTGCTGTGCGGAGGCCGAGGGAGAGGCTAGCAGAGGCCGTTTTGTTTACATCCGCAAGTCACGGCTCAGTTACCGCTGGCTCCATCTTGGATTTCTGAGCCAAGTTAATGTCTCAAACAGCGAAAAAATCCTACAGCCTTACCCCTATTTTTATGCTTTACGACTCCGCTATGATATATTACAGCAGCCAAGGGTTGATCTTAATTTTATTTGTAAGTTAAAAAAGCAAATGTTATAAAATCTAAAATTTTTTAGTCACCTTACACATCTGGACGCCGCCTCAATCTACTGGTAAGACAAACACGTCACTCAGTAACAGCACGCATATTTCGCGCAATTATCAGGGAGGTGGCCGGCTTTTCAGATGTGCCAGTGAGGGAACTTTCCCGCAGAGACCGGCGCGAGACCGGCGCCCTCGTCACGTCTGCTGTGAGCGGAGCCGCGCCGTCCGCCTGCTGCCAGCGCAGCGGGTGTGACTGAGAATCCACGATCCCCCCGGGGGGAGCCCGGGCTGGCTTCCTGCCCCTCCGCCTGCAGGGCTCACGGCCGGCTCAGTTGTGCCTCCGCAGATGCTCGTTTTCTTACCAGGCGTTGTCGATGGCCGAGATGCGGAGACCTCACTCGGCAAAATGACGCGAGCACACTAGCGCAGACAGACAAACACCCGCGGGGGACACGGATGTCACTGGCCAGGCTCCGGGGGGCCTCACCTCCCTCGTCCACCTGGGTGGCTCGCAGGGAGCAGGGGCCGGGGTGAGGGGCGTGTTGGGAGGGAAAGGCGTTCGGTGGGAGGCGGCCCCGAGCACAGGCGAGCACGCGCGGCCGAGAGGGCTGCCCGCACCAGGCCCCCACCCCGCGCCCGGCCCCTGTGCTCTCCTGCTCGTCCCCATTCCTGCTGTTCAAGGGGAGGCAGGTCAGGGCCGGCGCCTGCCTCCGGCGCCCTCCCCGCCTGTCTGGCGTGCGGACATGCTGCCCTGCCCGCGCGCATCCTCTGGGAGATGCTCACACGCACAGCGCGGCTGGGGAGGGTGCGGGACCCTGGGGCTGCAGGGTGCGCAGCAGAGCCGGTGTCCTGCAGGCCGCCCCCACCCGCAGGGACTCTTCTCGGGAAGTCTTCTGGGGGCCAAGGCACTGGGAGCCAAGGGAGCAACTGTCTGAGTTTGTCTGGAACAGTGCTGAACGCTCTCAGACCCCCGCCTGCCTCGCCCGCCGGCCATGAGCCAGCATCACGCTTGGCCTTGGGACAGGCCAGAGGGCGCTGTCCCCACCCGGCGGCCAGGGGCCCGGGTGGCCTCTTAGGGCTGCTGCCCACATGCCTGTGGCTCTTCAGCTTTTGCAGCGAAGTCAAATCCCCCTCAGGTCTCAGTCCAGCATGCACGTGGGGCTGGCGGGTGGATGCGTCCAGAGCATGGGCGGAGTGGACGCCCGAGCCTCTGCCGAGCCAAGCCCACGCGCGTCTGCGGTGTCGCCGCCCGACATCCTGGGCAGACAGAGGGTGACAGCGGCGGGGTGTCTGGTGTGAGGGGCAGCGACGGGGAGCCCCGAGCGGGGCGGCACTGGGGGTGCTTTCTGCTGCGGGAGCGGCCGCTCGGGAGCTGCTCTGGCTGCTGCGTGCTGCAGACCAAGTTCACGAGGTCGCCTTCCTTCCCGAACGCGTTTTCTCGCACATGTTTTAGTAGCATTTTAACGACCACTGACTATTTCAGCTCCTGACATGAGGAACCAACATTTCTTTGGCCCTAAGCCAGGCGCAAGGATTCCTGGAATGGAATTCAGAGTTATTGGCCCTTGTTAGTGACTTACAATAAATTCACATCAGCGCGTTAGATAAACCTTTACTGCGTGTGCTTGGCGCCTTCACCTCTCAGCTGAATCTAGAGCGTCTATAAGGAAGTTGTCCCGGGGCCCTGGCCTGGCCCCGCCCTGCTCGTGTGCTGGCTCTGCTGTCTGAGGTCACTGGCTGACCTGTTGTGTGTGGGGAGCGCAGGGTCTCCCCGGGGCGGCCACCCCCTGCGCGCGCCTGTCGGCAGCGAGAGCAGCGCCCCCTTCCCACCCGGGGGTCAGCGCGCAGGCCCCGCGTCCGGGACTGCTCTGAGAGGTGGACAGAGTTAGGTGACCGGGCCGAGGGGCTTCCGAGCCAGGACGATGGCCACGCAGGTGCGTGTGTGGACATGAAGGTCCTGTCGCAGCCGCCCGCCCCGGCTGGTGGGCCGGCCCTCGGGAGCGCTCGGCCCGCAGCGCTCGCACGTGTGACCTTCACGTCAGTCTCATTGGGAACATGTGGCCGGCGAGATAGCATCTCCCGGGACGCGGACGCGGCCGTCTCCGGCTTCCCTTTGTAAACAGGATGACTGTGCTGGGGGGGGCGGGAGACCCGCCTCCTCGGAGAGTCCACGCTCATTTTTGAAAATGTACTCAGGGTTGTAGAATGCATGTGCCATTTAGGGCTATTTACTTTCGGAATTCTTTCCGCGCTTGTCTCTGCGGTTCCGCGGGCGAGGGGTGCTTTTAACCGGCGTGATTTCCAGGGGCCGGAGCTGAAACACGATCTTCGTGTCTTGTGCTGGGCTGAGGCTGCATATTTTGGGTATTAAGCAAAGAAAAACAGGCCGCTCGGCCGCCCCGCTGAGCACGGCTCGGCCAGAGCAGGGGGGCCAGGCCGGCCGCCTCCCTCTCCCGGGGCGCGGGGCGCGGGGCGCGGGGGCGCGGGGCGGGCCGGCGGGCGTCCCGCCGCCACCGCCCCCGCAGGGCGCCAACGCGCTGGTCACCTACGCCATCGTGAGCGCGGCGGACGACAGCTTCCGCATCGACCCCGAGTCCGGCGACCTGCTGGCCACGCGGCGGCTGGACCGCGAGCGCCGCGCGCGCTACTCGCTGCTCGTGCGCGCGGACGACGGGCTGCAGGCCTCGGACCTGCGCGTGGCCATCACCGTGCGCGACCGCAACGACCACGCGCCGCGCTTCTCGCGGCCCCACTACGCCTTCGACCTGCCCGAGGACACCGCGCCGGGTAGGGCCGCGGGCCGGCTCCGGGCCCCCCGCCCGCCCGCCGGCTGGCTGCCCCCCCACCCCGTCCCGGCCCGCCCCCCCGCCCCCAGCCCCGCCGGCCGGCCATCCCTCCCCCGTCCCGGTCCCCCCCCCCGCCCCACCTCGTCCCCAGCCCCGCCAGTGCCCGCGCGACCCCCCCAGGCCGGGGCCGGGCGGGGGGCGGTGGGAGGGTCGGGGGGGTGGGGAGGGGCTGAGGAGGTGGGGGCTGGGGGTTGGGGGGCTGGGGCTGGGAGGGGGCAGGGAAGGGACCGGGAGGGGGTGGGGAGGGAGCTGGGGGGCCGGTCACAGCACCCTCCCGTGCCGGGGCGCCCCGCCATCCCCGCTTCCCTGCCCCCGCCCCCCCGCGCCGGCCGACGCCCGCCTCGCGTCCCCAGGGTCCCTGGTGGCCGCCGTCCTGGCCACGGACGCCGACGCGGGGGCGAACGGCGAGGTCACCTACGCGGTGAGCGAGGACGACGAGGACGGGCTCTTCTTCCTCAACCCGGTCACCGGCGTCTTCAACCTGACGCGCGCGCTGGACTACGAGGCGCGGCAGCTGTACGTGCTGGCCGTGCGCGCGCAGGACGGCGGCGGGCAGGCCTCGGGCGCCAGGGCCTACTTCAACGTCCTGGACGTGAACGACCACGCGCCCGCGTTCGGCCAGGGCGCCTACAGCGCGTCGGTGGTGGAGGGGCAGCCCGCGGGCGCCGTCGTGCTCGCCCTCGACGTCTCCGACGCGGACGACGGTGCGTGGGTCTGGTGCGACGGTCGCGCGGGTGCGGCTGCGGGCGGGTGACGGGCGGTGACGGGCGGTGACGGGTGGTGACGGGCGGGTGACGGAGGGTGACGGGTGGGTGAGGGGCGGGTGAGGGGCGGTGAGGGGCGGGTGAGGGGCGGGAGTGAGGGGAGGGGCGGGTGAGGGGGCGAGTGAGGGGGTGAGGGGGGGTGAGGGGCGGTGAGGGGCGGGTGAGGGGCGGGTGAGGGGCGGTGAGGGGCGGGTGAGGGGCGGGTGAGGGGCGGGTGAGGGGCGGGTGAGGGGCGGGGACGGGCGGGTGTGGGGCGGTGAGGGGCGGGTGAGGGGCGGTGAGGGGCGGGTGAGGGGCGGGTGAGGGGCGGGGACGGGCAGGTGACAGCGCTGCAGACAGACAGGCTGGGCGTCAGGGCGTTGTGACTGTGGATGTGCTTCTCGGCCCCTCAATGTGGGGGGCAGGCGTTGAGCGTTTGAGAATTTTGTCGGGTGAATTACAATGTTCCCACAGATTATTTTAACCTAGAAAGGATCCAGTTCCCACGCGAGAGGAAAGCGAAGTCTCCACACCCCCTCAGGAGCCCGCGTGGCTGGCGCGGCCCACCTGAGGGGCTTTTGCGCGGCCTTGACGCCACCCGTGCTGCGAGGATTGTTTGTCCTCACAGAACCGAGTCTGCCTCTGCTTGTTGGTGTTACTGTTATTTTTATCCAGATGTTTTCTTAACTTTTTCTCAATAATTGTGTTGTCCAGATTTATCCCTCGAAGGGTAGGAGAAGGAAACCGGGGTTCTCTGGTGAATTTAGCCCCAGGAAGTGCAGAACATTAACACGGGCCGGGCCCCGCCTTCCCAGCGTCGCCCAGCGCTGCTCCCCCGTGCCGTGGCTGCTCAGGGCTGAGCTTTAGTTACAAACTCTCTATCGTGGCTTATTGTTATTTATTATTTAAAATGGAGCAATTAATTTTCTTACCTTGCTGCCGATATTAGGGCCTGATGCTCGGTGCCTGTCTGCCCTGGACACTCCCTGCCAGCACAGGCACCTGTCTCTGGTCAGCTGCAGACGTGGGCCCTGCCCGACCGTCAGCCCCAGGGAAAGAGCGTGGCGTGGACACAGGCAGGCAGCCCAGGGCGGGGAGGGGGAGCGGGGCGCAGCCGGGACTTGGAAGGAGCCTGATGAGCTGCGGGAGGGGGCGAGAGAGAGCGCCCAAGGGCCAGAGGTGCCAGGAAGAGCCGTCTCAGGAACGAGGCGGGGAGCGAATGTTCCGTCTCCTGGGTGGGTCAGGACACCAGGGGCTCTCGTCGCCCATGGGGTCCACTGGCCAGAGGCCGAGCTGCAGCGTGTCTGCTCTGACAGTGGCCTGCCCCGGCGCCCAGCGCCTCCGGCATGAACTGGGGACGCAGACAGGACAGGTGACGTGACCCCCTTTCTGGGGCAGGAACTCTGATTTTTATTTCTATTTTTATTGTGTGTCTGTTTTTCACTTTTATGCCATTTACTGAAGCAATAGCTGACCCACTCGCTACATCACTTTTATTAGAAGTCTCTGCAATCGTGTTCCGAAATGAGGATTTATGATCATTTTTTTAAAATTAACAAAGTGACACGTTCCCGGGAAGACAGGAAAATGCCAGCTGCGTGCGAACGAGCACGTCGGCACTCGCAGGTTTTGTGTCTGATTTTACTGCTGACGTTTCCTCAGAGGATACCTGCAGAGCACATCACGTGTGTATCGTAAAATCTGAAAGAGTTATTTTCGCAAAAGTCGTTGGCCGGATGCTTAATAGGAATTAAAAAGGTTTTATTGCTTCTGACAAGAAACGCGTCCGTGGCTGGGCGCCTGTGACCGGTGTCATGCATCAGGGAGTTTATTGCCTTTCTCTGCCGCCGGTGTTGGCCTCCGTCACTCCCGGAGCGGCCGGCGTCCGCGCCGTGCCCTGTGGGGCAAGCCTGGGCATAGGTGCCGCAGGAGCTGCGCAGGGGAGCCGGCTCTCGGCTCTCCTGGGTGACGTCTCAGCGCCCAGCCCACGGCCAGTGGGGTGGGACCGACTCCTCAGCAGGTTGTTCACATCGTGTCAGATCGAAAGTGAACAGGAAAAGAATTACGCGTGTGCCGTGCACAAAGCGCCCCCCCACCCCCCGCACCGAGTCACCGATGTGGGGGTCCACTGAGGTGCCGCGTCCGGGTCGGATGCTTTGCAGCGCTCGCTCTGCCGCCAGCGCGGGCTTGGCGTGTCCGGCCTCCTGCTGTCAAGGTGTGTGGAGTTTGGAGAGAGCAATAGCTCAGGCAACAGCAGTGAGGAAACTGCAGGCCAAGGGTGGCCCCTATCCCGCAGCGGGCAGCCCTCGGCCCTCCAGCACTCAGCGGGCATGGCCGGGGTCAGCACGGGAGGGGGGCCGAGTCGCTTCCCGCAGCCTGCCCCCCGCGAGCGAACAAGTCACGGCCGACGGTGACCCAAGCCGAGCTGATGTCACAGCGATGGCCCCGCTGACGACAATCAGCCGTCTTGAGCCCTTCTGACGAGCAGCTCGGCTTTCTTCTCCGACAGCCTAAGGAGGAAATCCTGGTGTCGTGAAAACACAACTGTTTCCTTTAACTTAGAATATTAATAAATCGGGCAGTGCTTTTAATTAGCTTTGTTACACTCGAATCAACCCCGTAGCAATACCTAGAGGCACGAGGCCCGTCCCGGTTGTTGGGAGCTGAGATGGCGGGAGGAGGGCGCGTCTGACCGCGGCCTTGCTCCTGTGTTGCAGGCGTCAACGCCCAGCTGGCGTACAGCATCGCCTCGGGGGACAGCCTGGGCCAGTTCACCGTGGACGAGCGGGGTGAGCTGAGGACCCTGCAGGTGCTGGACCGCGAGAGCCAGTCCTTCTACAACCTGGTGGTGCAGGTGCACGACCTGGCTGCGCCGCCCGCCCCCCGCTTCACCAGCAGCACCCAGGTCTCCATCATCCTGCTGGACATCAACGACAACCCGCCTGTGTTTCTGTCCCCGAAACTGACCTACGTCCCAGAAAACACACCTGTGGGTACTGTGGTCTTCAAGGCGGAGGCTGTGGACCCCGACAGCGGCCCCAACAGCTACATTGAGTACACACTGCAGAGCTCCGCGGCCAGCAGCTTCAGCGTGGGGACCATCGACGGCGCCGTGAGGCTCACGGGGGAGCTGGACCGGGAGCAGGTGTCCAATTACACGCTCACGGTGGTGGCCACAGACAAGGGCCAGCCGGCCCTGTCCGCCTCCTCGGAGGTGGTAGTGGTGGTGCTGGACATCAATGACAACAGCCCAGCCTTCGCTCAGGCCACCTACGAGGTGGAGATCCCCGAGGACACGCTCCCGGGCACAGACATCGTGCAGGTGGTCGCCGTGGACGCGGATGAGGGCACCAACGGGCAGGTGCGGTACAGCCTGGTGGATGCGGGCGCTGGCCAGCCTTTCCGCATCGACTCGGTCACAGGTGCGGTCACCGTCGCCAGGCCCCTGGACCGGGAGAAGACCCCCGCCTACATGCTGACGGTGCAGGCGGTGGACCGGGGCAGCGCCCCCCGCATGGACACGTGTGCTGTCCGCGTGCGTCTGCTGGACGTGAATGACTGCGCGCCGGCCTTTGAGCTGTCCCCGTACTCGGTGACCGTCCCCGAGAACCTGGCGGCACTGCCCAGCATGGTGCTCCAGGTCAGTGCTCTGCCCCTCTCCTGGGCCGGTCCCTCTGGCTGATCTCAGCGTCCAGTGAATGGGCCTCCCCTCCCGTCAGTGACACACTAGCCAGCAAGCCAGGTGCGCCCCGGGTGCCCGGTGCACTTCATTGAAGGGTCTTTTTAATTTATTTTTTAAAGATTTATTTTATTTACTTACGCATATGAGAGCTGGGGTGCAGGCCAGAGATGCAGGAGGGGTGAGAGGAATCACCAGAGACAGAGTGGGGAGCAGAACAGGCAGACTGACGAAATCCACTGCTGGGGGAGCAGCGGGCGGCAGGAGAGGTCCGCTGCGCCATGTGGGTAGCTCCCTGGCTGGGGATGGACTCAGGCCTCAGTGGCTGGCGATGGCTTGAGAATGCTGAGGCCCAGGATCACGTTTTAAAATACCCAAACGCACTCCCTCTTACGACACTCTTACATCTTAAATTCTCTAACCCTTTGGCTCCTCCCCCAGCCCCCCCCCAACCTCAGATGCTGCGCTGGCTCCTTCGTGTTGTGTGGCACTGTCCTCTGTGTGACTGTCCAGTACCTGCCGCTGGCGCTGGGCCTGGCCTCCCCAGTCCGTCCCTCCAGCTCTGCCCGGGTTGGGAGCGCAGTGTCCCCTCCCCCTGGCCCCCGGGTCAGTGGATCCAGTGGAGCAAACGTGTTTGCCAAGACAGCGCGTCTCGCAGTGCACCCCTCCCGACCCACCAGGCTGCACAGAGGCGGGCGCGCTGGGGTGGGCGTGTTTCCTTCTGACAGCCGGTCTGTGTGTGGCGAGAAAGTGAGACGTGAGATCTTGCAACACCGGCGCAGACGCCTTCCCTCTGCCTGAGGGACCCCGCCCGGCCGGCCGCGGCCCACAGACCGTGCAGCCTCCAGGCCAGGCGCCGACGCACCTGTATTTCTGCCTAAACCTGCTCTGCGCCCTGCTGACATTTGGGGGCAGGCAGCTTGCGTCTCGGGCTGTGGTGTCCCTGGCGGGCGGCCATGGCGCGTCTGCAGCGGCTCCCTCCCCGCAGGTGGTGGCGCGGGACGAGGACCAGGGCGCCAGCGGCGGCTGTCCTACCTGCTGGTCGGCGGGAATGAGGATGACGCTTTCGTGCTCTCGGCCAGCGGGGAGCTGCGGGTGACCCGGAGCCTGGACCGGGAGACGCGGGAGCACTTCGTCCTGACGGTCATAGCCACGGACGCAGGTGAGTTGTTGCTGGGCGGCGGCAGTGGCTCCTGAGCAGTGCCCTTGGCCTCGGCTCCCTTCGGGCGTGCCTGGAACTCGCCTGGGGGCCGGCGTGCAGGCGCCGGTGGGGAAGCTGCGGGCGTCCAGGGTCCAGACAGCCCACGGCGGGGGTGCCTGGAGGCTGCCCGTCAGCCCATCTGGCAACTCCTGCCCTGGGGGCAGTGGGAGGTGGGGAGCGAGGGTCGGTGCTTTGGGGCACGGCCTTGGAAATGGGAGGCTCAACTCAGTGGGCGAAGCCCAGGCTTGGGGTGCTGGCTGCGTGCTGCACTGGGACGCGGTGTGTGTCCGGCCGCAGGCGGGGCCTTCTGGGGGGACTTGACGGTGGTGGAGCAGGGCCCCCCGGAGATCTGCGGGGCGGGAGGGGCTGCACAGCGGCGTGGGTTCCGGGGCTCCCTGGCCTTCCGTGGGACGGCAGGGGGTGCCTTCACGCGGGTCCCCCTGGCATTGGAGGCAGGAGCTGCTTGGGCAGCCCGAGGCGTCCCGAACCGGTGTCCTCACATGACCTCTGCGGGGACATTCTCAGCCAGAAACATCGAATATAAGCAGGAGTCGCGGAGCAGAGCCCTCCTGAGAGCGGCCAGCCCGTCCCTTTACCTCGAGTCCAGGGACCTCGAGCCTGCGTCAGGCGGCACGTCCAGCCTTGCAGACGCCGCCGAGGGCAGAAAGAAGAGCGGCTTCTGGGTTCCCACGGCCCTGACCCACCACCCTCCCGCCGCCCTGACCAGTCACCCTCCCGCTGCCATCTTAACCAACCAGCCCTCGACCTCCTACTTAATTTTCATCTTCATCCTGTGCCGGGCTCCTGTCCACTGCCAGCAGCCAGGCCTTCTCCTCCGCCACTTCTTTGCGGCGGCATCTGGTTCTCATAAATCATCCAGGACCAGATGGAGCAGCCCTGCCCTGCCCCCTCGATGCCAGCGCCTCGACTGGCTCAGCCTCGTAGATGCTGACCCCTTCCCCTGCCCGGCATCCTTGGAGACATGGGAGCGGGACCCCAGCCTGCCGGCCCAGGTTCTAGCGGCCGCCCCGTCCCTGGCACACGAAGGCCCCTTGACAATGCGGCCGCCTTCAAGGGCACAAGGGGCGGCCAAGCAGCGGGGTGGGGGGCAGTGCCAGCCGCCGAGGTCCTCAGGCATGGCAGGGGCCGGGGTGTCTCCGCCGACCATGGTGCTGAAGGGGGTCCCGTCGTGGGGCGAGGGCCGGGCTGGCCCGCGGGTTGGAGCTGGATCCCTCTGCGTGGGCGGCGGAGCTGAGCAGGACCGGGCGGGACGTGACGGCGCCGGCAGCCGGCTCAGCGCGGCGAGGCAGCCTAGGCAGGCGCGTGCAGCTCCAGCTGGGCCTCGGCTCGCTTCTGCAGGCGGCCCTGGCGGCCACCCGGCGGCCCCAGTCTGACCGAGCGGCGCCCTCCAGCTCAGCACCCATGGGCGCTGGGAGGCTCCACTCCAAGAAGCAGGCAGGGCGCCCTGAGGCAGCCCAGGGTGGCATAGGAGGCCCCTGTGGGCACAGCCCCGCCCCTCGGCTGCTGACCCTGCCCGCCTGTCACACACGCGGCGTCCTGGTCTCCCCCAGGGTCGCCGGCGCTGACCGGGACCGGCACCATCAGCGTGGCGGTGGCCGACCTGAACGACAACGCCCCCGCCTTCGCCAGCAGGGCCTACGCCACCGCCGTCCCCGAGGACGCGCCCACCGGCACCGACGTCCTGCTGGTGAGCGCTGCGGATGCCGACGCGGCCACCAACGCCATCATCAGGTCAGTGCCTGTCCCGCCCCGCGCCCGGCGGCCAGGCAGGCAGGTGTCCTGCCAGCGCGCTGGACGCAGCTGGTGTGCGATTTCAGTTCCATTTCTCAATTTCGTGGCATTTTACCTGCCCGGAGGGTCTGTTGGTTGAGGAATTCGAGGGGCCTCTGCAGGGCGTGGGCTCCTGGGCTCAGGCTTCCTGGGGCCCTGAGGGGGGAGGCATGGGGGGAGCGGGCTCAGGTGGGCAGGGCCGCGCCCTCACTGCCCCGCCACTGGACGGGGTGAGTCTGGCCTCTGATGGAGAATTTGGGCCACTTAACCCTCCACTGGCCACATGAAAAGTTTTTCCAATGTTTGTGTTTTCTAAGCCTGTGAAGCTCGTGGGACTCTGATCCTTGCCCAGCGGAGAACACGGGGGCAGGGGGTGGCAGGGGCTGTGTGTGTGGCTTGCGATGATGCCCCAGCAGCTCGGCCGGTCACCAGCCTCCTCCTAACAGAGTCCCTCTGGGGGCAGGGCTGACGGGCCAGGCAGGAGCCTGGCGTGGGCTCCATCTCACCTGCGGTCCACTTTGCTGACACACGTGCTGCTGTGTGGACACCTGGTTGGTCCCAACCTCTTGGGACACCTGCTTGTTGGCACAAAAGCGCCACCTTGCAGACCTCGCTGCCCCACGTGGTCCTGCAGGCATGGCTGCTCCCTCCCGGGGCCCCATGGTGCTCGGTGCTGCCCACCCACCGGCCAGTGTCTGAGGGCCACGAGCTGTCCAGCCCCTCCACATCCTCAGTGGCCGACTGCGCGTCCCTGCAGCAATGCCGCAGCTGCTCTGTGGAGACGCCGAGGAGGTGCTGGCCTCTGGGCCGAGCTCCCGGCCCGCTGCGGCGCACGCAGATAAATAACTTGTAGATTCGTTCAGCAGATGTCGTTTGCGGCCCTGGCTCTGACCGCAGCACTCGAGCCAGACCCTGATTTATGCTTCGAGGCTCATGAATTTAGAGCTCCGGGTCTTCTGGGTGTATCTGGGGGCCCCCGCATGATTTAAGAAGCCCACAAATCTTGCAAGGATCTGCCTGAGCTCCCTGGCCCCTCACCAGCGCACGGTCAGTGGATGTTCACCTGGCTGGTCCCGGCCCGGCCGCGTCTGTCTGCCACGCCTACCTCGTGTCCAGTTACAGCCGCCACCACGGCGGGGAAACGCGGGGAGCCGTGCCCACTCTGCCCTCTGCTTCAGTTACAGGATCCTGGGTGGGAACCCCCAGTTCACCATCAACCCGTCCACGGGGCAGGTCATCACCAGCGCACTGCTGGACCGCGAGGCCAGAGACAGCTACACGCTGGTGGTGGTGTGCAGTGACGGGGGGTCCCCGCAGCCCCTGTCCAGCTCTACCAGCGTGCTGGTCACGGTGACCGACGTCAACGACAACCCGCCGCGGTTCCAGCACCACCCCTACGTCACACACGTCCCGGCCCCCACGCCGCCAGGTACCACCCTATGGACATAGACACGCGTGGACGCCCTCACGCCAGTGCCCTCACGCGCCCGCCCGCGCGCAGCTGCAGCTCCTCTAAGGCTCAGCCCAACGCTGCGTCTGCAGCTCCAGCTCTCCGGCCAGCCCTCCCTCCCGGCCAGCCCTCCCTCCCGGCCAGCCCTCCCTCCCGGCCAGCTGTGCCAAGGCCTGTCGTGCTGCCAGCTCCTGTTTTCCAATGTGACCTGAAAGCCGGGGACGGAGCGGCCCTCTGGGTGGCCTCTGTCACCTCAGGGCCACGTTGCCCTTCACTCAGCCGATCCTGGCACCCGCAGATCTGCCCGGGAGGCCCAGGCGTTCAGACAGTGGGTGCAGAGTGAATACTCAGGGCCTCATAGGTTGACGTGGCCAGTGAGTGGACGGTCCTCCTTAGTCCTCACTGCTAGCTTGTCCCGGCGTCAGCAGCCTTTGGATGCCGAGTCCACAGAGTGCCTTGGGCGGTGCAGTCTGTCCTTCGAGAGCCGGTGGTTTCCGTTGCTGTAGTGCGAGCTGTGTGCTCGCCGGGTCACCTGTGCTGACGGCGATTGTGATGAGTTTTCAGACCCAAAACTCCAAACACTGAGCACGATCAGCGCGGGTGACGACGGCCTCTTCTCTCCCACAGGTGCCTTCATCTTCGCGGTCACTGTCACCGACGCCGACGTCGGCCCCAACGCGGAGCTGCACTTTTCTCTCTCGGGCAGAAATGCCGAGAAGTTCCACATCGACCCGCTGCGGGGGGCCATCATGGCCGCAGGGCCGCTCCGCGGCACTTCTGAGGTCACGTTCTCCGTCCACGTGAAGGACGGCGGCGCGTCCCCCCGGACGGACTCCACCACGGTGACCGTGAGGTTCGCGAGCCCGGCCGACTTCCCCAAGGTCAGGGCCGAGGAGCGGGAGTTCGTCTTCCCGGAGAGCCAGCCCGTGGGCACCGTGCTCACGGCGGTCAGCGGCTCCTCCCCCAGGGGGGGGCCCCTGTCCTACTACATCGCCAGCGGGAACCTCGGCGGCACCTTCCAGATCGACCCGCTGACAGGGCGGGTGTCCGTCAGCCAGGCTCTGGATTTCGAAAAGGTCCAGAAGTACGTGGTCTGGATCGAGGCCAGAGACGGGGGCTTCCCGCCTTTCTCCTCCTACGAGAAGCTGGACGTGACCGTGCTGGACGCCAACGACAACGCCCCCAGCTTCAGGGAGGACCCGTTTGTGTCTGAAATCCTGGAAAATCTCTCGCCTCGAAAAATACTGACTGTTTCGGCGCTGGACGAGGACAGCGGGCTCAACGGTCAGCTGGATTACGAGATTGTCAGCGGCAACCAGGAGCGCAGCTTCGGCATCGACCCCGCGACCGGGGAGCTCCGCAGCACGCGGCCCCTGGACAGGGAGAGGACGGCCCGGTACGTGCTCCTCGTCAGGGCCTCGGACCAGGGCGTGCCCGCCCTGAGCGCCTCGGCCAGCGTGCTCATCCACGTGCTGGACGAGAACGACAACGCCCCCCGCTTCTCGCAGATCTTCAGCGCCCACGTGCCCGAGAACTGCCCGCTTGGGCACACGGTGACGCGCGTCACCACCTCCGACGAGGACGCGGGCGCCAACGCCGTCAGCCGGTACTCCCTGGTGGACGCCAGCCTCCCGTTCTCCATCCACCCCAGCACCGGGGACATCGTGGTCAGCAGGCCTCTGGACAGGGAGCACACGGAGCGCTACCGGGTCCGCGTGTCCGCGCATGACTCGGGCTGGACGGTGAGCACGGACGTCACCATCTTCGTGGTGGACGCCAACGACAACGCCCCCCGCTTCAGCCAGCCGTCCTACCACCTCGACTGCCCCGAGCTCGCCGCGCCGGGCGCCCTGGTGACCCGGGTGTCGGCCACCGACCCGGACGAGGGGGCCAACGGGCAGGTCTTCTACTTCATCAAGTCGCCGTCGGAGTTCTTCCGCATCAACGCCACCACCGGGGAGGTCTTCAACAAGCAGCCCCTGCGGTACCAGGACGTGCGCGGCACCAGCAACGCCAACGTCAACCGGCACAGCTTCGTGGTGACGGCGTCCGACCGTGGCGCCCCCGCCCTGCTCAGCGAGACCACGGTCACTGTCACCACCGTGGACGGCAACGACCACGCCCCCCGCTTCCTGCGTGCCAGGTACTTCACCCCGGTGGCCAGGACCGTCCCGGTCGGCACCAGGCTGATCCAGGTGGCCGCGGTGGATGACGGCGACTTCGGCCTCAACTCCGAGGTGGAGTACGTTGCGGCCGACGAGAGCCTCCGGGGGAGGTTCCGGCTGGACCGGAGCTCGGGCTGGATCTCAGTTGCCGCCTCCCTGGCCTCCGACCTGAACCAGGACTTCCTGATCCCCGTCACGGCCAAGGACAAGGGGACGCCTCCGCTGTCCTCCCAGGCCACGGTCCACGTCACCGTCACTGAGGAGAACCAGCACACCCCCGAGTTCTCGCAGAGCCACGTGAGCGCTGCCGTCCCCGAGAGCCACAGCGTGGGGGCCACCATCCGGGCGGTGTCCGCGCGTGACCCGGACACGGCCACCAACGGCCTGATCCGCTACGCCATCGCCTCGGGCAACGAGCGTGGCCTCTTTGCCATCAACGCCTCCACGGGGCTGCTGACGCTGGCTGGGGCGCTGGATTACGAGCGGTGCCAGCGGCACGAGCTGACCATCAGCGCCACCGACGGTGGCTGGGTGGCCCGGACGGGCTTCTGCACAGTGACCGTGGACGTGCTGGACGTCAACGACAACTCGCCGGTGTTCCCGGCTGCAGAGTACACCCCGACTGTGCTGGAGAACGCCCCCAGCGGGACCACGGTCGTCCACCTCCGCGCCACGGACGCTGACTCGGGCCCCCACGCTGTGATCGCCTACGCCCTGCACGCGTCCGACAGCGACCTCTTCGTCATCAACCCCAACACGGGGGTGCTGACCACACAGGGCTTCCTGGACTTCGAGACCAGGCAGACCTACCACCTGACCGTGAAGGCCTTCAACGTCCCGGATGAGGACCGCTGCAGCTTTGCCCGTGTGCTGGTGCAGCTGCGGGGGGCCAACGAGTACGTGCCCCGCTTCGTGACCAGGCTGTACCACTTTGAGGTCTCGGAAGCCGCCCCCCAGGGCACCGTGGTGGGTGAGGTCTTTGCCAGCGACCGCGACCTGGGCGCCGACGGCGAGGTCCACTACCTGCTATTCGGGGCCAGCAGGAAGAAGGGCTTTCAGGTCAGCAAGATGACGGGGCAGGTCTCCGTGTCGGGGCCCCTGGACAGAGAGCGGGAGGAGAGGGTGTCCCTGAGGGTCCTGGCCAAGAACCTGGGGAGCATCCGGGGCGCCGACGTGGATGAGGCCACAGTCAATATCACCGTGCTGGACGCCAACGACCCGCCCACCTTCAGCCTGAGTGTCTACAGGGTGCAGGTCAGTGAGGCCGTGCCCCTGGGCACCCATGTGGCCTTCGTCAGCGCCTCCGACGCGGACTCCGTCCCCAGCTGGAGCAGCTTTTCCTACTCGATCGGGTCGGGGGACGAGAAGGGCGCCTTTTCTGTCCACCCGCAGACGGGCCAGGTCACGGTGGCTGCGGAGCTGGACCGCGAGACCCTGCCTGTGTACAACCTCACAGTGCAGGCTGTGGACTCGGGTGTGCCCCCCGCCACGGGCCGTGCCAGCTTGCTAGTCACCCTGGAGGACGTCAACGACAACGGGCCGGTGCTGGCTGTCACCGAGGGGACGGTCATGGAGAACCAGGCCCCTGGTGCCCTGGTGATGACCCTGCAGTGCAGCGACCCCGACCTGCCCCCCAACCAGGGCCCCTTCACCTTCCAGCTGCTGGGCCCAGGCCCAGCCAGCAGCTATTTCAGCCTGAGCGCGGCGGGTGTCCTGCGCACCACGCGGGAGATCGACCGGGAGCAGGTGGCGGACTTCTGGCTGGTGGTGGCTGCACGGGATGCAGGCGTGCCCCAGATGACCTCCACGGGCACCGTGCACGTGGCCGTCGGGGACGAGAACGACAACCCATCCCGGCCGCGGGCCGTGGAGATCTTCGTCAGCTTCTACGGCACCTTTCCCGGGGGTGTGCTGGGCTCGGTGCAGCCGCTGGACCCCGATGTGCTGGACGTCTTCCAGTGCACGCTGACCGCGGGTGCCACCAGCCTCTTTAGCATCCCCAGGGGCACCTGTGACCTGAGTGCGCAGCCACGGGCCTCGGACGGCACCTTCGACCTGACGGTGCGGAGCAGCGATGGCGTCCACGGGCCGGTCAGCAGCAGCGTGAGGGTGTTCTTCACGGGCTTCTCCAACGCCACCCTGGACAACAGCGTGCTGCTGCGCCTGGGTGTCCCCACGGTTGCCGGCTTCCTGGACAGCCACTACCTGCGCTTCCTGCGTGTGGCGGGCGCGCAGCTGGCCGGTCTGGGCACCGCCGTGCAGCTCTACGGCGCCTACGAGGACGACAACCGGACCTTTGTGCTGGCTGCAGTCCGGCGTGGCCCTGGCCAGTATGTGCGCCCCAGTGGCGCAGCCGCCTTCTTCGAGAGCGCCCGGGACGCGCTGCTACGGCAGAGTGGAGTGCGGCTGGAGGCCGCCGACCACGACGCCTGCGCCCGGGGGCCCTGCCTGCACGGCGGCCGCTGCGAGCCCAGGCTGGCCGTCGGCCCCGTGCTCCGCAGCCTGCCCAGCCCGCCCGTCATCCTCGTGGCCAACGCGCCGCTGCCGCCCTTCCTGTGCCACTGCGCGCCGGGCTATGCGGGCGACCGCTGCCAGACGGACGTGGACGAGTGCCTGCCCGCACCCTGCCACCACGGCGGCACCTGCCACAACCTGGTGGGCCGCTTCTCCTGCAGCTGCCCCGAGGGCTTCGCTGGCCAGGCCTGCGAGCGCGACGTGGACGAGTGTCTGCCCGCGCCCTGCCGCCATGGCGGCACCTGCCACAACTTCCCAGGCGGCTTCAGCTGTGCCTGCAGAGCCGGGTACACAGGTAGGCCCTCGGGTCGTGGCCCTCAGGGAGGCGGCGGCAGGCGACGGGCTGCGTCAGTTAGGGGTGTTTGGGACCATGCCCCGCCCACCCCAAGGTGCCCACAGTTGTCTCCCGAAGGCCAGGGCCCCCTCTGGCTCTGCGGTCGGGGCTCTGGGCTGGCTTGGCCTGTTCTGTTGCGTAGTTTCTCGACCCCGAGTGTGGGCGAGGCCGCGGGAGCCGCCCTTTCTCCTGGCTGACTTCGCTCGTGCGGCGCTTGTCCGGGGGCCGGCAGTTTTCCTCCGGGAGGCCCGGCCCGCTCGGCGCCTGTCCTGGGCACAGGGTTCCGGGAGCGCCCCCCGCGGGCCGCGCAAGCCCAGCAGCAGGGGCCCTCGCTGGCATCTTCGGGCGGCGCGGCGGAACTGCCGGGACATGTGCCGGGTCCCGTTTTAATGTTTTGAGAACCCGCCACGGGGCTGGTGAGTGCTGCCATCGTTAAAGGCTTTTTCGTGAAGACGGGTTGGTCCCGGCGAGCTCCGTGAGCCTCCGCCGTCGGCCAGCACGGGCGGGTGTGGCTGCTCCGTCACGGGAAGCCCGAGCAGGGGCCGTCACGCTGCAGTATTGCAGACAGAGAGGCTGAGGCAGAGGAAGGTGAATGCGGGTTTTTTGGGTAAACTAATCCCTTCGCTGTTGCGTCGGGATGCGGTCTGCTCCCTCCCGGAGCGTAGGGTCTCGGTTGGGCCGGGGTCACCTGTGCCCGCGTGGGGTCGGGGAGTGGGGCCGCCCGGTGCAAACACGGCCTTGTGGCTCTTGCCCCGGGGGGCATCCAGGACGCTGGTGGTTCCGCCTCTCTGGGGGGACGCATCTCCCCTCCCATCTCGGCGGGCAGTGGAGTCCCGGTGGGGCTGCTGGTGCTGCTGCTCAGGGGCCCCGGGCCCCGGCACTGTGGGCAGGCCCAGAGCACGCTCCAGGGAGCTGAGCGCCGCGTCCCGCACTGGGAAGCTGGAAGGACTCTGAGAAACGGTCCAGCTGTTCCCGGGAAGTTGAGGGCGGGGCCTGGGGCTCCTGTAAGTCTGCCTTAGAACAACAGCCCTTCCCCCAACAATGGAGGGGTAGGGGGGCTGGTCCAGGGATCGCATCTGACCTCGGTCCGCGGTGACCCCACAGCTGCAGGCTGCTCCTCCCTCAGGCCGTGGGCAGCTTTGTCTGAGGGCAGCTTTGTCCGCGGGCAGCCTGGCCTGGCGCTGGCCCTCGGGCCCTCACTGGCCCCTTGGCCCCCGCTGGCCCTGCTGGCCGGCCCGTCTCCTCAGGCAGACGGAATGGCCGTGTGTCCTTAGTCGAGCTACATCTCCCGGGACGCGTTTGTGTCTGGTCACCTGTCACGGTGCTGATTTATTTGTGGTTCCAGCTTTTCTGAGTGAGCTCGATGCTTTTCAGGGAAGACGTGCGAGTCTCCGGTGAATCACTGCGAGTGTAACCCCTGCTTCCACGGGGGCTCCTGCCACAGCGGCCTGGACTCCTACTCCTGCCTCTGCCCCTTCGGTGAGTGAGCCCCGCGCCTCGGGGCCGGAAAGCAGGCGCTGTGGGGCCGGGTCGGCAGGGCAGGCCTCGGGGGCCGCACCCCAGCCGCGGAGCCCGTGCTAGCAGCACTGGTGTTGCGAGAAGGTCCTTGCCAGGTGGCCGACTTGCCGCCGGTCCCTCAGGTCCTTCCCCTCAAGTGCGGACGCTGCTCAGCCCTCCGGCGGCCTCTTTCCTTCACGAATCTTTGTGCCAGGCCCCGGCTGGGCCCCTGTGCTGAGGCGTCAAGTGAAGCCTGAAGGGAAATGGTTTCCAGCGGGGCTGCGCGTGGGGTGACGGTGGTGGTGCGAGGGTTTGTGAAGACTGCTGCCCTCAGCTCGGCGGCAGCTGAGGGTGGCTGGTGCTACTCCCCCGGCCCACAGGGGAGGGACTGGGGTCCCGGGGAGCCACTCCCCCTGCCAGAGGCCCTGGGCGGCAGCCGCCCCGGGTGGGTGGCGACGCCCGGCCTGGCGGCAGTGCCTGTCCCCCGTGCAGATGCTTCCAAGAATAAGCGTGATCAAAGGCAAAGGAAGGATATTTCCCCAATAACTGATGTCATCTTTACACCTTATCTTTACCTTTCGTAAACTCTGGTTATTCTTTCTGCGTGTGTGAGCGACGTACATACAACACAGCAGACGTGTGGCATAATAAACAAGTGACACCGTCTCAGACAGCACCGAGGTGGGGAGACAGCGGTCCCTCGCGCTGGTGGGCCACGTGGCTCACCTTCTGTGCCTTCCGTGGTGTGACGGTGCTGTCGCTGACCCCCCCCACGCCCAGGCTCATTTACGGCATGGAGGAGCCAGTGTCGCGGCAGGAGGGAGCCAGGCCTATGGGGTCGCAGGGGTCGCGATGGGTGGCAGGGCTTAATTTTCCAATCATTGCTGCAGTCTGCTAATATTTGTGGGAAAGGAATCTTGGCGTAGCTTCGGAACATCAGTAAAACTCATTTCTCAAGTTTGAAAAAGAACCAGCACAAACAAGCAGGAATGCTGGATCCAGAGCAACAGAGAGAGCGGCTTTAAGGAGGCCGCTGTGAGTCCCACCGGGCAGGGAGCAGGAGGGGGCTCAGGAGAGCGACTGGCCCCCCGGAGAACAGGCTCTGAGCTCGCTAAGGCTAAGCCCCCGCTCCCCCTCCCCCGGGCCGGAGTGGACTTCCAGCCTGTTCCCCATCGCCTCCTCCCACGCACGGACGCTGGCCGCGCAGGCAGTGGGCTGGCTGAAAATACAGAACATCGAAGCGTTGCGAGGGGACAGCTCCTGCGGGGCGGGTCTCTGCAGACGCCCCGCTCCCCTCGGCCTTGGTGCTGGGGCCCGGCCCGCGGAGCCGCGCTCCCTGCCTGCCCATGGGGAGAGGGGGAGAGGGGGATCGTCGGCCGGCGACGCGGGGGCTGCAGCTCGTCCGCCGGTGCTGCCCGGCCCAGCGTGGGAGTGGCCGGGGGTGGCCGGTGCGCCCTGTGCGGCCTGGAGCTTGACGTGCTGTCCCCGCAGGCGTGTTCGGCAAGCACTGCGAGCTGCACAGCTACGGGTTCGAGGAGCTGTCGTTCATGGAGTTCCCCAGCCTGGACCCCAACAACAACTACATCTACGTCAAGTTCGCCACGGTCCAGAGCCACGCGCTGCTGCTGTACAGCCACGACAACCAGACCGGCGAGCGGGCCGAGTTCCTGGCCCTGGAGGTGGCCGAGGAGCGGCTGCGCTTCTCCTACAACCTGGGCGGCGGCACCTACAGGCTCACCACGGCCAAGAAGGTGTCGGACGGGCAGTTCCACACGGCGGTGGCCCGCAGGGCCGGCGCGGTAAGCCCCGCTCTGCTGGGCCGAGGCCTGCTCGTGGGGCCGTGGGCGGGGCCGTGGGCGGGGCCGTGGGGCCGTGGGGCCGTGGGCGGGGCCGTGGGCGGGGCCTGGGGCCGTGGGCGGGCCGTGGGCGGGGCCTGGGGCCGTGGGCGGGGCTTGGCGGCAGCTCCCGGGACCGGGAGACTGAGCGCCCCTGTCAGGTGCTCCCTCTTGACACGGGCTTAACTTGAAAGAAGGCCGGGCGTGGAGGGCACAGCGCCCCTGTGATCTCAGATTCCGCCCCCCAGAGCCTGCCGCCGGGCCTGCTAGAGGGGGCGCCCAGCGCCGGGCGTTTCTTCCTCCGAAGTCTTGAGGCTGAAATGACTTTGGGCACCTGGCGGTGGTTCCCGTTATGAGAAAGAAACACTTGAGAAGAGTTCACAGAGAGGAAAGGCCAGCGATGAGCTGAGGGGCGCTGAGGGCGGGCGGGCGGGGCGACCCCGGCTCGGGCTGTCCTCTGCGCCCCGCGGGCCGGAGCTGGCGGTCTGTCCCCGTCGCTTCCGCCTAAGAGAGTCAACCTCCAAGGCGGTGTTTCAGGTGGGTAGAGTTACTCCCGGTGGTCTGGAAACGAGGCCAAAACAAGAGCACGGCGTGGCGGCGATGGTTGTAACGTGGGGCTTTCACGCGGTGTGGAGAATCTTAAAAGTCACTCTGGGGCGCCGACGTGCTGGTCACTCCAGGTGGCTTTGCTTCTGGACGAGGGCCGGGCGGAGGGCAGGTCGGCGCCAAGGCGGGTGGCGGCGCCTGTGTGTTCCCGTGGCGTCCGAGGCGCAGCTGAGTCGAGGCTGCATCGCCGCGGCAGCCCGGACGCCGAGTGTGCGCTGTCCTGAGGGCCCGGCTGGCCTCGCAGCTTCAGGGCAAAGTAACAGGGTCAAAGGTTTCCCTGGGCTCAGCGTGACCCCGGGCAGCCCCTGAGCAGTTGGCCGGCTGCAGCGGGTGAGACCGAGGCGACCAGCAGGTCTCGGAGGCGGCTTTTCGGGTCAGCGGTCGGCTTGGCTCAGTCCGCGCGGAGCTCTGGGCTGCCCAGCCAGTGCGTCCCCCTCGGTCAGCAGCGGCTAAGGCAGAGCAGGCCCCGGCCCTTGGACTCAGCAGGGGCCTGGGAGCAGAGGGCCGGCAGGCAGGTGCTGCGGGTGGCCGGGGCTCGGAGGCTCTTGCCCCCGGCTGGGTCCAGGAAGCGCGCCCGCCTCGGGATGCCAGAGTGAGCCCTCCCGGGTCTGACTCTGTTGTTTCCCGCAGTTCAAAAGGATTTGGGGGGAAATGGGCAAAGTCACGACCTTCTTGGCTTTGAGTCCGGCAGAGCAGGACGAGGCTTCTTGATTTGCAGTGGCAGAGAAATCCCGCAGCCGAAGGCGCTGCTGGCTCGGCACTGCAGCCCCGAGCTGCCGCGAGAATGAAACTGGCCCCAGTGCTGCTTCTGGGGGGCGCAGCGCCAGGCTTCCAGGAAGCCAACAGAACAAGCGCTAGGGCCGCTGACCGCAGAACGCCGCGCTCTCGGCTGTCCCCGCCGAGGCTCCGTGTGGGACCTCGGGACATCCCGCTGTCTCGCGAGGGCCACAGCCTCTGAGCAGATGTGGGCGTGGGCGCGTGGAGAGGCTTGTGCCAGGGGCGCAGGCGGGGATCACGCTCGGGCGAGTGCGAGACACCAGTCGCCTCGGTCTGGTTTGGGCTGGGTTGGTCCCGAGACTGTACCAAGGGAAAGCCCCTTGGTGGGCGCCGCGCCCTCGTGGGGTGAGTGTGGGCAGAGGGGAGCCTGCTGACCGCCCTCCTGCCCTGCAGGCCGCCTCCCTCACTGTGGACGCCTGCTCCGAGGCCCAGGAGCCCGGCTTCTGCACGGTGAGCAACGCGGCACTCTCGGATGACTGGTGAGTGAGGCGGAGCCGGGAACGGGCAGGCGGGGCCCCACGGGAGCTAAGGTGGGCGGGTGCCTGGGGTGCGTGGGGTGCGTGGGCTGCGGCGTGCAGAGTGGGCGGTGGTGCGCAGAGCGTGGTGAAGAGGCAGGGGCCGGGCGGGGGCCTGGCGGAGTGAGACCAGGACACAGCTGCTTGCAGGGAAGCTTCAGCCAGTGGTTGCCCCACCTGGCCCTGAGCAGAGGCAGGCTGAGGACCCCCCAACCCTGCGGCCAGAAGCCCACGTGCTGTGACCCCAGGTGGGCGGGGCAGGACCCCGGCTGAGAGCAGCGTTGCCCCAGGTGCCTCGGAGCTTCAGGAGCACAGTGCCGCCGGGGCCACCCCACCGGGGCTCCCTGCGCTGCAGGCTGGCCCCTGGGGGCCCCGACATTCTGGCCGGGCTGCCGCCACCCCTGCGACTGTGGCCTCCGCTTGGCGGACGCGGGTGGGTCGGGCTCCCCATTGAGTCTGCAGGAAGCGAGGCGGCGGCTCCGCCGACCCCGCCTGCGGCCGCCCGGTGCTCACACCTTCTCCCCCGCAGGACACTGGACGTGCAGCCAACCGGGTCTCCGTGGGCGGCGTCCGGTCGCTGGAGCCCATCCTGCAGCGGACGGGCCAGGTGGAGAGCCACGACTTCGTGGGCTGCGTCATGGAGCTGGCGGTCAACGGGCGGCCGCTGGAGCCCAGCCGGGCGCTGGCATCCCAGGGCATCCTGGACCAGTACGCGCCGCAGTCTTCTCTGGGGCGGGTGGGGGGGTGTGCAGAGCGAGGCCGGCTGCAGCTTGAGGCGGCTGAGTCTTCAGAGCTGGTTTACAGCCGGGAGATCTTGTTTGGTATAAAACGTGGGGTTCAATCAGAAATAATTTTTACGCCTGAAGCCCAAGAATAAACACGCGGCTGCAGGCACAGATGCCCCAGGTGCCCCCAGGGGAGGCGCTTACGGCCGTGGGTGCTCGCGTAGGGCGGACTCCAGGGGCGCGAGGTGTGCGCAGAGCCAAGGACCGCGGCCCAGCTGTACACCCAGCGCGTGCATGGGCAGCTTGGTCCACCCGTAGCGAGGAATAACGCGATTACCCCGGAGACGAGGTTCTGCCTTTCCTCCTCGGTTATGGGTGGGGTTCCCGGCGGTGAGTGAGCAATTGCGAAAGTAACATTTTACTTTAAAAACTGACTTTTGTGCATATTGAAAATTTGGAAGGTTTGGGAAGAACACAGAGTAACCTTTACACTGGCCACCCGGAGCCCCCCCAGGCCACGCGTGTCCCCGGCCACGCCCCCAGGTGGGCGCCCTGTGCCACTGGGACGCGTTAGTCAGCTCCAGTTTCATTACTGGATCAGCCGGATCTTCGCTCACTCTTCCCTCGCCGGGGATTTCTAGAAATGATACGGCAAAGCCAAAGCTCTGAACATTCCTAATACTTGTAACGATACACGCTGGCATTTGCCTTTACTGTTCCGGGCTGCTTTCCCCGACCAAACAGGCCCGTGACCGAGCAGCCCCCGCGGCGCAGCGGGCAGGCCCGCAGGGCTGGCTGCTGTCGGCGCTTTGGGCTCATCCTTCTGCATCTTTCTCCATGTTCACGCGGTGCTGGAAAACACCGGGCGCTTCGAAGTCACCGCGGCTTCAGGCGGAATCTGTCGCGAACCTCCCTGGAGGGCGGAGGGGGCCTTAGACGAAGCGGCAGGTGGGGGCTCCCGCGCTTGTGCCTGAAGAACGCCCGGCCCTGCTCTCACCCGCGCGCCACGCCCAAGGAGCGCGTATTTCACAAGTTTGCAAAAACGCTTATCAATCGACAGCGAAGTCTCTTGGAGGAGGCTTTTTAGTCTAATTTTCCCATCACCGCCACAAAACGTCCCAGGTGTGAGGCTGAAACCCGCAAACTCACATTCCCTCGCGCTGCAGCTCGCGAGCTTGGCTTGCTTTTTAAACGGGTCTGGCCTTGCTAGGTGGATGCCATTGTCCTGGGCCGTGTGCAAACAATACAGGGCAAGACTTGGCGGAAGGTCCCAGATTTGGAGATCTCCCCGCGCTTGCCCGCGAGCCGCCTGCCTGGGCCCGGCCGCCATTTTGTGGAGCCGCTTACTCAGCATTTTAAGGTTCCCCGTGGGCTGCGGGAGGAGACGTGTGCACGACCCCGAGGGCGGCGTGCGGCCCGGCATGGGGGACCCGCGTGCCTGGAGCCCCCGCCGTGACGGGAGTCTGTGCCCCTGCAGGTGCCCCCGCCGGGAAGGCGCCTGCTCGCCCAGCCCCTGCCAGCACGGGGGCTCCTGCTCTGACCGCTGGTCTTGGCAGCTGTGCCGCTGCCGAGAGGGGCTGACCGGGAAGCACTGCGAGAAAGGTGAGCGCCCCCAGCCCCAGCCCCTAACCCCTGCCCCCTCACCCCCCCACGGAGCCAGGGCAAGCTCCGGCATGTGCAGCTGCTCCGAAATGTGCCGCTGTCTCCCGGGATCGGGTCCACTGTCAGCACCGACACTCTAATGGGCAGTAATTGCTAAAACACAGCGACATTTTAAAATTCAACTTCCTCACCTAAGGAAAGGGGGCATCGTTTGGGGTTATTACTAAATCTTTCATTTCCATTTTATAAATCTACCATTCAGTTATTTTTGTCTCGCCTGCCCGCACGCTCCAGGTTTGCAAGGCTGGGAACTGTCTTCAGGCTGTGACAGAATAGTCTCTGCCTCCAGGGTGATGTCTGTGGCTATTTTACCTTGGGCAGAAAAGTCTAAATGCTGCATGTAGGTCGCTGACCACTGACCCCTGCGCGGGAGCGGCGGCTCTGGCAGTACCTCGCCGCTAGACTCTACGGGGGGCTTCGCCGCGGCGGCTACAACCGGCTGCGAATCCTTCTGTTAGTCCCTCGTTGTCACCCGACCTTAGTGTCCACAGGCCACGGACGGCGTCCGGGCACGGTCAGCTCGGGGCCTTCTGCCGCCAAGCTGCCGTCCACCCCAGCCCCAGTGGGGCCTCCTGCGAAAATCACCTTAGGCGTCGCAGCTGCCAGGCACTTTTTAAGGGGCCCTTTGATTCTGTCGTGAGGCCAGAAATTCAGGACAAAATCAAGGCTATGTTACAATCAGAGATTTCAGTAGCAGGAAATGTGTTTTAGTTACTTCAGATGAACTTAAAAAACAGAAGAAGCATGTTGTCGTGTGCTCCTTTTTTAAAGCGCGGGCTAAGCAAGCAGGCCGGAGAGGCCAGAGGAGGCGGCTTCTCAGTAGGCAGCGCCGCCTCGGGCTGGGGCCGCACCCCCTTATTTCCTGCCTCCCCGCAGCACCTACGTGGGTCCTGCACTGCAGCCGTGGGAGCGTTTTATCCGATTTTGGTAAATTATAACTCAGCGTGACTATCCACGATGAGGTGCCCGCGTGATTATCACTAGTGGCGACGTGAGGTGCACGCGGGAGGCAAACGGCCCGAAGCGCTGTGATCGTGAAAACCACGTGTTGGTTGGAAAGTCGCTGAAACGCCCGCGCAGCTCTGCCGGCTGCAACACGAGCCCCCGCCCCACGCCCCCTGCTTTGCGGCACGCGGCAAATATTTTAATGAATTTTTCCCAAAAGAATAACCGCCATGAAACATTTTACATTTCACGCTTCTAAGGTGGACTTGCGCCTGTGAAATGAACCTTTGCCATAATGCACAGGCGGAGATGACTTTTTCAGAGTTGGGTTGGGGGATATCAAGTCCCCCAGTACATATCCTCATTGTGCTTTCATAACTTCCAGTCCCTTCTCGAAGCCCTTATCGCCAGGCTGCCGTCGATGCAGTCATTCACCCCGTCAGCACGGCGGCGCGGCCTTGCCTGTGTCTGGGGGTGCGGCATCTCCCCCTTGGCACCACGCCCCTGTCTGACATGCCCTCCGCCCCCCCCCCCCCCGCGGTAGCCCGGGTTCTGCACCCCACTTCCCAGCCTCGAGAATCCCTGTCTGTGCTGACCTGCCTCTCCTTTGCCTGCCGGCTCCCAGCGGTCACCCCCGACACGGCCTTGTCCCTGGAGGGCCGGGGGCGCCTGGACTACCTCATGAGTCAGAGCGAGAAGCGGGACTACCTTCTGCGGCAGAGCCTGCGAGGGGGAGCCCCGCCAGAGCCCTTCGGGGTGAGCAGCCTGGAGGTGAAGTTCAGGACGAGGAGCGAGCAGGGCGTCCTGCTGCACGTCCAGGAGCACAGCAACTACACCACCGTCAAGGTGCGCGGGGCGGCCCCAGGCCGAGGCGCCCCACGGGGCGGGGCTGGCTCTGCCTGCTGCCGGGGACCCGACTTTTAAACCAGCGAAACCTCTGACAGGGAACGTGCCTTTGAAATGGAAAATATTTTTCTCCAAGAATTAGCCCAACCCCGACAGGGACAGAGGAGTGAGCAGGGCCAGGAGCAGACAGGCCAGGGGGCGGCTGCCGCGTGCGGGACCCGCTGCCCCTGCCTCGGGCACCTGCGCGGGCGGGGCCCACCGCGGGGCCTCTGGGCTGGCGCGGCGCCTGCGTCCCTGAGAGCGGTGGGCCGGGCTGGCGGGAGGCTGAGGTGATTCGTTTTTTCTCTGTGCCAGCCAATAGTCGTGTCCACCTACCTGCCCCTCCGAGCGTCTGCACTTCTCAAGCGATTACTCTGCGTTCTTCCCACAAACACAGCTTCGTCTTAGACCATCGCTTTCTTTAATATACTTTTGTGCAAATTTTGGTAAATTCGTAATGAAATAAGCCCAGACTTTCCTGCGTTCTTTCACCTGTAAAATGAATGTCAGGAAAGTGCCCGAGAGCTGAGTCCGTAGAGAGGCAGCACAGCGCCCGGAGGGGCGCCACGGCCGCGCACAGATGACGGAAAGTGAAACCAGATGGTCCCCGTAAGCTTCAGCCTCCCTGGGGCGCTGTCCCAGCCCAGCCGGCCGCCGCGCCACGTTGCATCCCACGTCTCCGGGTGGTGCGCGAGAGGCCCACGCTGGACCCTCCCAGTGCCCCCCGCTGGGGCGGTCGGCACCGCCTGGAGCCACGGCCACTGCCCTGGCGTGGGGTGCGGGGCGCCAAGGAGGCAGCCCCGCGCTCTCCTGGCTCTTTTCTTCTGACCTGGGCGCTCCCCGCCCCTCTTCCCCTCTGCGGCCTCCCCACCCGGCCCCCCATCTGGACCGTGGTGGAGAGAGCAGGTGTGGCTGTGGCCGGGCAGGTGACGCTCTCCTCCTGTTGGCTGAGCCTTGGCTCCTCTGGCAGGTGCAGGGCTAGTCGCTGGGCAGGCCGGCTCCCCCCAGCCCCTGCGCTGGCTCGGGCGCGCCCCGTTTGCGTTGTGTTCTGATTCCAGCACGTCGTCGTTTAACCGCAATTATCGCCAACTTGCTTTCCAGATTAAGAACGGCAAAGTGCATTTCTCATCGGATGCAGGCGTTGCAGGGAAGGTGGAGAGGACCATTTCCGAGGTGTATGCGGCCGACGGCCACTGGCACACGTTTCTGCTGGCGAAGAACGGCTCGGCCACGGTGCTGTCCCTGGATGGGGTGCACAGCAGAGAGGTCACCCACCCCACACAGGACTTCGGGGGGCTCAACGTGCTCACCATATCCCTGGGGGGCATCCCGCCCAGCCAGGCCCATCGCAGCAGTGAAGCAGGTAACGCTGGGGGAGCAGGCGGCACAGGGTAGGCCTGGCCCTCCAGGGCCGCTTTGTCCGTGACCACGGCTGTGCGTGGACGCTCTCCCTCCAGAAAGCGCCCCGGCTGTTGGCCGTCCCCCTCCAGCCCCCGGGAGCGAGCCAGTCCCAGACTCTGGCGTTTGACCCCAACTCTGAAGTGGGCGCCGCTGCCCAGGAGCGAGACTCCCCCAGACCCACCCTGGGCTGCCGCCTGGGTCCTCATGGGGACTTTGACACACATTTTATTTCTGTCCGCGCAGTCTTTGTGTACGGACATAAAAATGAAGCAACCGGATGACGAGGCCGGGCATTCGTGGGTCTTCACGGCCATACCCGCGCCCTTGCAGCCCGGCAGCAGCCCCTCCTGCTGAGTGGCGAGGGGGCAGCCCCAGCTGGAGGCTGTGGCCCTCTCCCTGGGGCCCCGTGCCCCCTCCCTGGGGCCCCGTGCCCCCCCTCCTCTTGCAGCCTCTGATGACCCCCCCGCCCCCCGCAGGCTTCCAGGGCTGCATCGCCTCGCTGCGCTACGGAGCGGAGAGCCTGCCCTTCAGTGGGAAGCACACCCGCGCCTCCATCTCTAGGACTGACCCCTCCGTGAGGGTTGGCTGCCGCGGCCCCAACGTCTGTGCCAGCAACCCCTGCTGGGGCGACCTGCTGTGTGTGGACCAGTGGCACGCCTACCAGTGCGTGCGTGCCCGGCGACTGCGCCTCGCAGCCCTGCCTCAACGGTGGCCACTGCGAGCCCGGCCTGCTGGCCGGCTTCACCTGCACCTGCCCGGAGTCGCACACCGGCCGGGCCTGCGAGACGGTGGTGGCCTGCCTGGGGTCGTCTGCCCCCACGGGCGCGTGTGCCAGGGCGCGGGGCCGGGGGCCACATCTGCGTGCTCAGCCCCGGCCCCGAGGAGCTCTCGCTGCCCCTGTGGGCCGTCCCCGCCATCGTGGGCAGCTGCGCCACGCTGCTGGCCCTGCTGGTCCTCAGCCTGATCCTGTGCCACCAGTGCCGGGGCCGGCAGGCCCGGGGCGCCAAGCGGGGAGAAGCCCTGCAAGGAGAAGAAGAGGAAGAAGAAGGGCAGCGAGAACGTGGCCTTCGACGACCCCGACCACATGCCCCCCTACGGGGACGACATGACGGTGCGGAAGCAGCCCGAGGGGAACCCCAAGCCCGACATCATCGAGCGCGAGAACCCCTACCTGATCTACGAGGAGACGGAGCTGGCGCACGGCGCGGAGACGGTGCCAGCGCGCCGCTGGCCTCGCCCGAGCAGGAGCTGGAGCACTACGACATCGACAACGCCAGCAGCATCGCGCCCTCGGACGCCGACTTCGCGCAGCACTACCGCCAGTTCCGCAGCCACGCGCCCAAGTTCTCGCTGCAGCGCCACAGCCCGCTGGGCTTCGCGCGCCAGTCGCCGCTGCCCCTGGCGCGGCGGGCCTCGGCTACCCCGCGGCCTACGGCTCGGGCCTGCGCGGCGGCCCCACGCCCCCGCCGCTGCGCGCGCCACAGCCCCGCGCCCTTCGCCAAGCCCGCGGCCTTCTACCGGCACAGCCCGGCGCGCGAGCTGCAGCTGCGCTGCGGCGCGGACGGGGCCGCCGCGACCCGCCGCGCTGCCCCGCTACGCCGCGCGCCTGGGGCGCCGCAGCCGGAGGCCCCGGGCCGCGCCCGCGCGGCTCGCGCCCCGGGAGCCGCCTCCGGCAGCCGGCGGGGCCGCTGCCGCCGAGGCCGCGCCGCCCGTGGGGCTGAGGACTGCTCGAGAGGTGGAGCGGCTCAGCGCGCGCGCGCCGCGCGCCACCCCAGCGTGGGCAGCGCCGACCACGGCCGCTCGTCGGGAGGAGGACGGCCGCCGCCGTCCCGCGCGCGCAACACCGGCGACGGGCTGCCCGCGCCCGAGTCCTCGTCCGACAGCGACTCGCACGCGTCTTCACCTGCTCCGAGATGGAGTTCGAGCGCGAGCGCCCCGCGGGCCCCGCCTCGCGCACGCCCAAGCTCTCGCGGTCGCCGAGTCGGACGGGGACGACGAGGACCCGGGGGCGCGCGGCCCCGGCCCGGCGCCCCCGGCCGGCGCCCCGAGGGCGCCCACGCGCGGGGGACGCGGCGGGGGGGCGCGCGGCCGGCCGCGGCGCGCGGGGGCCGCCGCCGGCCGCCGGCGCCTTCGACTGGGACAGCCTGCTGAGCTGGCAGGGGCCCCGGCTTCGGCCACTACGTGGACGTGTTCCCGGACCTGGCTCGCTGCCCGAGCGCGGCGGCGCGCCGGCGGCGACGGACGGGGCGCAGGGCAGGCCGCCGCCGCCGCCGGGCCCCCGGCGCGGACGCCGAGCGCTACGTGTGACCGCGGGGAGGCCGGGCGCGGGAGGGGGACCCCAAGGCGCGCCCCCCGCGCCCCCCGCCGCGCCCCCTGCCCCCCCGCGCGCCCTCCGCGTCCCCCCCCCCCGCGGTGCCTCCCGCGCGCCCCGCAGCACTTTAGAGCTTCGCGCCGTCGGCGCACGAGTCCCGGCGCGGGGACGAGGCCGGCCGCGCCCCCGAGGGGTCTGGGCGGTCGGGGTTATTTATTGAAAGACCCTCCTGCGCCGCGGGAGCTCGAAGGAGCGGCGGGGCCGAGCGAGTGCGGGTGGACTCGCCTGCCTGTCTCCGGCGGCCGCGCCCGCCCCGCGCCCCCCCGCGCCCCCGCGCGCCCCCGCGCCCCCGCGCCCGCCCGCTCTCGCGCGCTCTACGCGCCCCGCGCCCCCGCGCCCCCGCGGGACCCAGTGCCCAGGGCGGGTCCCCGAGCGGCGGGCGGGCGCTGTGTGTCTGCGCCGAGAGTTTCTTGCTTTCGGGGAAGGTAAGAAAATACTTTTTTACCATTTGTTACTTATGTAACGTCCGTGTTTTCACTTTTGATACTTGTAACATACTGTTCGCTTCTACCTGTAAATGCCAGCGGCGGAATTAAAATATTTATTTAAGTCCTGCGCGTTCCGGGGATGATGTTCGCCCGCCCTCGTCCGCGCCTGCCCGGCTGGGAGACCCGCCGGCCGCCGGCCTGGCGCGCGGACCCCGCGGGCTGCCCGTCCTCGCCCTTCCCCTCCCCGCCCGCGGCGCCGCGCGGACGTCGGGGCTCCGCCGCCGCCGGCCCCGGGCGTCTCCCTGCCGGAGGCCGCGCCACCAGCCCGGGCAGGCCGCCGGGACGGTCAGCGGGGCCGGCTCTGGCGGGCTGCGGTGCCGGGACGGCCGCGGGCGGGAGGAGGGCCTGGGCGCCCGGCGGCTCTGGCCGACCTGCTGGCCCCGCGCCCGCGGCCCCCACGCGGTGCCCGGGCGGGCAGAGCCCAGCGCACGCTCTGCCTGCGGGAAGGAGACTGGCCGCGGCGCGGCGTCTGCCCAGAGCGTTCCTCTGAGGCCGTCTGGGGGTTTTAGCCTGGATTAAGAGCTCTCAGTGTATAAAAGATGTTGGCTGTTTAGAAAATAAATTATTCTCAGTCCAGTAGCAGCAGGCGACGTGTGCTGAGCCGTTTTGTAGCTCGGCGGCGCCGAGCCTGGACAGGCACGCGGCGGGCCAGGCTGACGGGCGCGAAGACGCGGCCGAGAGACCGAGCGTGGGACCAGGCCGCGCTCGGCCCGCTGCCCCCCCACGCCCGTGTGGCGAATTCACGCACCAGACAAGGGCGTCGCCCGCACAGCTCGGAATGACACGGCTCCCTCGAGGCGCCGAGGAGCGGCTGCCCATGGCTGCAGGGAGAGCAGGGCCAGACGCGGGTCACCACCTGCTACCGCCAACGTCAGGGCACCTGCCTCCGCCCAGACCCTGGATTCTGTCTCCCCGGGAATCACTTCCCCTGGGCAGTCACCCAGCGCAGGGCTGGGACAGGCCTTGGGAGCAGCACCCCTAGGGCATGCTTCTTCTCAGGCACCTCTGCATCGAGCAAGAACTATTCGTACAGCAGAACAAGCCGGAAGCGCGAGGAGGAACGGCCCGCGTCGAGGGCTGAGCTCACGGGGACGCGGTGCCGTGCTGGGTGTGCCGGGCCAGGCCGCACAGCCCCGGTTGCCCCCGTTCCGGCAGCCCAGGACTCAGCCCGGCCCCTGCCCGATGGGCCTCTGCCCGCCCCGTGCTGAGGGCCCCCCGCTCAGGCCACTTCTGGAGCTTTCTAAGTTGGTGCAACGGGCGCCTTGTGCAGACAACTGGGAGCCCCCGTGCGCGCACGAGGCGCGGCCAGGGCGGCTCCCACCTGCGACACCAGCGCGGCCGAGGCCCAGCAGCTGCTCCCGGGCTCCTGGGGCGTGTCCCGCGAGTGTCTCACCCGCCAGGGGGACACCTGGTCTCCCAGAGGCCCCGGTGGGAACAAATCGCTGCTGCATGAAATTGCATTTTTATGTACTTGAATTCAACATAATGGTAAAATTTGTGGTAAATGGTAGCAGAACAATAAAATCTGTGAAAGGTGAACACGATTTTTACATTTTGAGTCGGTCATTCAGCGATGCACCGTTCCCTGTTTCACTTTGTGTCCCGGTTTCAGTTTTACTCACCTTTCAGGATGACGTTTACCTCCCCCAGGAGAGGCCGGCCCAGAGGCCACGCGGTCGGTGGACCCGCCCCGGCCCGGGCTTTCTGCGTGAAATACAACATGGACAGCAGGCGGCTCGACAGAACGCGTTCCTCAGGGGTGTTTTGGTGAAACGACGTCGTTGACCACCTCCGGTCGGCACCCCCGGGCGCCCCGGCCCTCCTGGTCGAGCAGCGGGAGCGCCGGGGTCGTCGCGCGGCGCGGCGGCGCGGGCGGGGGCGTGAGGGAGCGGGCGCTGGGCCGGGACACAGTCCGGAGCCTGCACTTCGTGCTCCCGGCCCGGCGCCCCCACGGGCCGCTGCGAGCGAGGAGACGGCACAGTGACGTCAACAGAGAAGTAAGCACACGCAGACACACGCTCGCACACTCACACACACGCTCACACTCACACGCTCACACTCACACTGTCTCTCTCACACACGGCGCCAGGCTGAGCCCCGGGCGGAGCGTCTCGCCCGCGGTGCTGACCGCGGAGCCAGTTCTGAAGGCCTTGAGAGACCGGCTCTCGGGGTGTGGCTCGGTAAAGTCGTAAGTCGGGGGATCCCTGAGAACGTGGGAGCGACCCCCTTCCCCCCAACAGTAAAATAGTTTTAAAAGTGTTTATATGTGAAGTGAATTAAAAAAAAACAAGAACTCATCGGACCTGAGAACGGTGGTGGCGCAGGCGCAGGCGCGGGGGTGGGGCTGAGGAAGGGGGGCCGGCGCGGGGGGAGGGGGAGGGGACCCACGGCCCGGCTGCAGGGGGTGACGGCGCTCTGTCTCCTCCACAGCTGCCGGAGAGCCGGGGGGCGAGTTCTCCCGGAGCGAAGCCCCCTGAGCTGGCGGCACCTGGCCCTGCCCTGCCCTGGCCCTGCCCTGCCCTGGCCCTGCCCTGGCTCTGCCCTGTTCTGGCTCCTGCCCTGTTCTGGCTCCTGCCCTGGCCCTGCCCTGCCCTGCCCTGCCCTGCCTGGCTCTGCCCTGGCCCTGCCCTGGCCCTGCCCTGGCTCTGCCCTGTTCTGGCTCCTGCCCTGGCCTGCCCTGCCCTGCCCTGCCCTGCCCTGGCTCCTGCCCTGGCCCTGCCCTGGCCCTGCCCTGGCCCTGCCCTGCCTGGCCCTGCCCTGCCCTGCCCTGCCCTGCCCTGGCCCTGCCCTGGCTCTGCCCTGCCCTGGCCCTGCCCTAGCCCTGCCCTGGCCTGCCCTGCCCTGCCCTGGCTCCTGCCCTGGCCCTGCCCTGCCCTGGCCCTGCCCTGGCCTGCCCTGCCTGCCTGCCCTGCCCTGCCCTGCCCTGGCCCTGGCTCCTGCCTGGCCCTGCCCTGCCCTGGCCTGCCCTGGCTCCTGCCTGCCTGCCCTGGCCTGCCCTGCCTGGCCCTGCCTGGCTCCTGCCCTGGCCCTGCCCTGGCCCTGCCCTGCCCTGGCCCTGCCCTGGCTCCTGCCCTGGCCCTGCCCTGGCCCTGCCTGCCTGGCCCTGCCCTGCCCTGCCTGCCCTGCCCTGGCCCTGCCCTGGCCCTGCCCTGGCTCTGCCCTGCCCTAGCCCTGCCCTAGCCCTGCCTGGCCGGCCTGCCCTGGCCTGCCCTGGCTCCTGCCCTGCCCTGCCCTGCCCTGCCCTGCCCTGCCCTGCCCTGCCCTGGCCCTGCCCTGCCCTGCCCTGGCTCCTGCCCTGCCCTGGCCCTGCCCTGGCCTGCCCTGCCCTGCCCTCCGCCTGCCCTGCCCTGGCCCTGCCCTGCTCCTGCCCTGGCCCTGCCCTGCCCTGGCCCTGCCCTGGCCCCTGTCCTGCCCTGCCTGCCCTGCCCTGGCCCTGCCCTGGCCCTGCCCTGGCTCCTGCCCTGGCCCTGCCCTGCCCTGGCCCTGCCCTGGCTCCTGTCCTGGCCCTGCCCTGGCCCTGCCCTGGCTCACCATCCCACCTCTCGGCAGCGGAGCTGGAAAAAGGCAAGGCGCGGGCCAAGGCCGAGAACGCGCGCAGGAATCTTCTCTGAAGTTGTTTCGCGTGTTTACAAGCCCTTGCCTAGACAGAAACCCCCAGGAATCGGTTACTCATAAAGTATAAATTCCTCACCTTTCCCTTCAGGTATTTTACGTGACCGCAGGCAGCACTCAGAAATGTGGCTTTTAATTGAACCTTTAAAACCTGAAAGCGCTGATTCAAAGAAGAGCCGCTGTGAGGCCGGCTCCGGGGAGCAAGAGGAGCCTCGGCCTCCCGCAGCCCTTCCCGTGCTGAGGGAGCCACGACGCGCGAAAGCCATTTTCCAGTTCCAATTCCTTTTCACCGTACAGCGCCCCCCTTCAGGGCTGAGCCCCCGAGAGCAGGGGCTGCCTGCCCGAGGGGCGACGCCGCAGGCCGCAAAGGGACGACTCGGCGGGTTGAGCCCTTTCCGCTTCGCTCAAACGTCCGCTCCTTGGTTTTGTTCTGGCAGCACCTGCCGCGCGGTCGGGGTGCCAGGGCCCGCAGTGGGGGTGCAGGGCCTGCCGTCAGGGTGCCAGGCCGCGCTCTGCACAGCGAGTCCCCCTGCGCTGCACGAGCCGCCCCTGCGACTCCTGTGTCGGGGGACGAGGGCGCCGCGTGCGCCAGCTGCAGCCTGGGCAGGAGCAGTGCGGGCCGCGTGGGTCGGGGGTGCCGTGGGGTGCCCATGCCCCCGCCGCCCCCCGGACCCCCAGCCCGCACCTTCTGGTGGCCCGCTCTGAGCACCAGGCCAGCCATGCTGGGAGCCCAGTCTGGGCTGAAGTCCGGGTTTACCGCAGACATTTCTCATCACTCCTCGGCTTCCCAGCGACGCGCCAGCGTTGCCCGCCGCTGCCTGAGACAGAACCCGGGC